TGTTTTGCAAATTTAATAATTGTTTTATAGTATATATGTTGTTGAAATAATGGCTGGCTTTAAAGAATTTTGTATTTGGAACGCAGTATTGGATTTGTGAACATTCCACGCTAGTGAAACCTGACACGGAGAGTATGTTCCCAAGATTTATGAAATGGGACATTGGTGCCTTAGTTACCCAGATACGGGGTTTGGATTTATCAACACCTAGCAAATTCCAGGTGTAGTACTTGTATAATTATGTGTAATATTTGGTCGTAACTGTTATTGGATGAGGGTGTTTGAATATTGTGTTGTTTGATTTGTGTTTTGTTTGTATGTTTGGCAGGTACGTACTGATAGATTGCAGTCGTTGGAGTATGAACGTAACATCTTGGCAACAGACGAGCAAGAAGTTGGCCGTCGTGACGATGGAGTGACGGATGTGGTTATCGGATATGGCGATGGGACTCAACGTGTGACATATGAGGTGGTGGATGGCATGGGGGTGAAAGCGAAAGATGTGCACAGCGTGGTACGTGATGCAGTGAGTGACGTGGCTGGTTTAACCGAATTGGAAAAGGCTTTGAAGTCCATGGCAGATATGGAATTGCGGAACAAAGCAAACGAGGAGACAATCTCAAAGCTGGAGAATGAAGTAGTCAGTTTGAAGAGTAAGATGGAAATGCAAGCGGTTAACATTGTCGGTGGGTTCGGGTGTGTTGTGAAGGTTAACGATGACGAAATACGAAAACTTGAAAATGAGAACAAGGAATTACGGCAAACAATTTCGATGTTGGAAGACCAACTGGCTGACCAGCAAGTACACACTGTTACGCAAGCTTACCGGAAGAACACACCAACTGACTTTAGGGACGTTGGTGCAAGCCATTGCGAAGGAAGTAGTGGGTTCGATGTGACGGTTGTTCATGATGTTACGCCTATTCGGGTTGGTGTAAATGTTGGTGTTAGTGGTGAGAATGTTACTGTGCACACAGTGTCTGATTCTAGTCCGGTGCCACAACGTAGTATGGGTGATGTAAATTTGACGGACTTTGAAGTGGGAGTGTTTCCGAATAAAGGGGAAGGTGTAAGAAACTCGTTCGTGCGTAACCTAAAGAACAAAGTCAAGAAAGAATTAAAGCTGAAAGATTATGACTACTAGGTAGTTGGGGAGCACGAAAAGAAAACAGTCAGACACGGGTGCAAGGGTGTGTGGATGGAAAAAAGCACTGTAAATGACACAGTTGTAGACGTGGACACAGTTGGTGTAGCAGCCAGTAAATGGTCTGGGTTTGAGTTGAACAACCAGTTTGGGGTATGGAAAATGATGACTTTTGAGGAAAATGAGAAAATAATGAAGACTTACGAACGGAATGGCGACGGGTATGTGTGGGTGTTTACGTAATTTATTTCCGTATACGTATCGTGTGTTGGTGAGTTTTTGTGAGGATGTGTTTGTTTTATGTGTAGGGCTGTCATGTGGGCTGGTGGTGAAAGTAGTGTGGCTGTGTATTTTACGGACGTCAAGAGTCTTGTACGGGGAGAAAGTATATGTGGCAATGTGAGTTGTGTTATTACTTTATTGTGTCACGCGTTGTGTTGTGTTACATGATCCTGTGAAATGTGTGTAGCCGTACATGTTTGATGTTGTTGATTTACGTATTTAATGTTTTGGTGTCTCAATGCAGGTGATTGATGCGTATGCTGAGACATTGGTGACAGAGCAGGCACATATCTGTGCGGGTGATGCTTTAGTAGACAAATCGTACTTCTTCAGCAGTATTTGTATGGTGAGGAAGGTATTGTTTAATTGTTGTACAATGACCAGTGCGTTATGTACTGATATTAAATGTTTGTTTTGTAGAGCGTTTTCAAATCTGGCAACAAGCAAACAATGGAAAGTTATGTGCTGAAGAATTTTGCAGCATCAAAGGAATGTCGGTACATTCATTTCCCGATATGCAACAACGCACACTGGACACTGGTGGTGTACGACGCAGAGGATGGAAGTTGGAAACATTTTAACCCAATGAGGCAACGTTCGTCTGGCAGGTCAGACTCGCACTACAATGAAGCACTTGTCCTAGTAAGGAACACATTTCATTGTAGTTGTCATCAGGTCATGGATGTATTACGATTTTGAATGTAATTGCGGTGGGTGTTTTGTGTATAACAGAAGGAACGTGTGTCGTCTGTAATGAAACGGTCCTTACGAGCAGATGGAATAGATGAGACTAGCATCGCTGAGACTTTCAACCATCCCCTCGAGGCTGTTAAAGACTGCCCCCAGCAAAAAGCCGACTCGTAAGTGAACTGGAGTTCGAACTGTATTGCTTGTCCGTTGTATACGAAAGTGATTGTGGATTTTAATTGAAATTTTATTTCTTGTTTTCCCAACGCATGCTGGATTGTGCGGTTATTGTTTGCGCGGTGATGAGGCAGTACGTACACCATGTTGACGTAGCGCGATCATTGCAAGGTACCAATGGCATCGTGTTGAGAGCAAACATGGTAAAAGGATTTGTCAATGACATTAGCAGGGGTCTTAAACATTCCATCTGAATGTTAACTTTCAAGCACATATGAAAACATTAGCGTACAGTTATATATTTTATATATTTTTGATTAGCAAGTGGGATATCCATGGTTTTTGGGACACATGTGGAAGACAATAGCGTACAGTTATATATTTTTTATTAGCAAGTGGTATTTGTTGTGAACGTACGTTAACAGTATAAATTTCATAATAAATATGATGTGGGGTTTCTTTAAATGTGTTGTGGTTTTTGTTGTGACTTGTGATATATGCATGGGCAATGTGTTTATATGGAGTTGGTATAACATGTTATTGGCTGGTGAGAATGTTTGACAGTGGGTTTGTATGGTGCATAGTGATGTGGTTTGATATGTTGAACATCATCGTTGTGTGTGGAAACAAAAAATTTGTGGGTTGGTGTTGTTCCCCATATAGGGTGGTTAGGTAAATGTTTATGTTTCACGTGTAAGGTGGTTATCTGAGTGTGTGTTTTGAATAGTTGTTAGGAGCAAATGGAGCACAATTTCAGTATTAATGTGGTGTTGTTGTTCGACGTATATGGTGATTTGGTGAATGTGGTGTTGACAGTGGGTTTGTATGGTGCATAGTGATGTGGTTTGATATGTTGAACATCATCTTTGTGTGTGTAAACAAATAATTTGTGGGTTGGTGTTGTCCCCCCTGTATAGGGTGGTTAGGTAAATGTTTATGTTTCACGTATAGGGTGGTTATCTGAGTGTGTGTTTTGAATAGTTATTAGGAGCAAATGGAGCACAATTTCAGTATTAATGTGGTGTTGTTGTTCGACGTATAGGGTGATTTGGTGAATGTGTGTAATGATGCAAGTGTGACGTTGTTAACATAACATTTTCTGGGAAAAGTGGGTTGAATGGGACAACAATTCAATAAAAAGTGGGTTGAACGGGACCACAATTCAATTCAATGCCATCGATGTAACAAAATTATTACAAAAGAAAATACGATACATAACACTTATTTAATAACGAAAACGTTTAATAAGGGGTAGGATCCAAATTATTTGGTCGGCTTACATAATAAAGACGACGATATAATGAAAGCGATACTAATATGTAATAAAAGCAACGATAATAGTATGGTATGTCCGGTGTGTTCATACACACTTATTTACTTAGGGAAAATCACAATGACAAACTTATGAATGAAAACAGTAACCATAAATTTTGCATGCAGTGATGGCTAAATTGGTTCTTTACATGTCTTCCTGTTGTGGTGCCCCAGGCGTTGACAACGTCCGCATCGAATTTTTTGTGTTTCTCCACCCCGAGACAGAATTCGTTTTTTCTTTGGCCTTCCAGGTGGTCGTTTCACTACTGGTGGGTGTATGATGAAATCTTCGGTGTTGAACGGAGGTTTTTTAACAGTTGGTATTGGGGTTATGCTTGATGCGTATGTGGAACAATATTCGGACACATGGTAATATGGTTCAACCAAGTCATACAGATCTCGTCCGCTGTTACGGATTGCAACCATCGCGTGTGCACATGGAATTCGTTTAATCTGCCACTGAAAGCACGAACACGTCTGCCTGCCAACATCCACAAGCACTGATGGGTATGAATGGACCTCGTACACATCGTCATTTGATTGGCTTACAAGCCACGCCCTGCCTTTGTTGTAAGCTTTTACCAACCGAGACTCGATTTTGGGACAAAGAATTCCAGGCCACGCGGCTGCCTTGCGTCGGCGTTTTGACATTTGGTCCATAATTTTCGTTCTAATGCTGTTAACCATCTTCGTGATTGGGAGGTGTCGTGCCTCACGAATCCATGAGTTGAATGACTCAGCGGCGTTGGAACACATCTCGCCATACCAGTCACCCCTACAGACACAAAGATGAAAACATGTAATAAATAGTTCCATGTAACTATGAAGGATAACTGCATTAAGCAGAACAATGTACGAAACTAATTTGGTGGAATATATTCATGCTCAGGTGCGTACCGAAAGTAGGCATTTGCCCAATACGTCGGAGGTAAATCTTTCAGAAAAGCCGTTGCCAATTGTTGGCCCGATGCCTTAAAGCTTTCTAAGCTGGAGTTAAATGCTGTTACGGTCGGTGCGTAAGCGCATGCACGAAATTTACATAGCAATTCGACACGGTGCATCTTGTTGGTATATCACATCTTGTCTTGCAAGTTTCGTTGCAAATGTTGCAAGCAGAAAGCATGGTGGGCATATGGAAATATGATCGGAATAGATTCTAGAAGTCCTTTGTGTCGGTCTGAAATAAATGTGATCGTTCTGTCCGTTTTGACCAGTTCGCACGGTATTCCAAAAACCAAGCCCAATTAGTTGTGTTCTCCGAGTCGACAATTACAATTGCCAATGGGAATAAACCTGTGTGCATAATGAATAGTGGGTTCAGCCGATGGGTATGACGCAAACATCATAGAGTTTTTTATTTTAAAAAAAAACAAATATGCCAACAACAGTGTGTGTGCTACGAATGAACATAACCTTGATTGCCATCCTTTGCAGTAGCAGCTAGCAAGTTGCCTTTGAATTTCCCCTTCAAGAAGGTACCGTCGAGGAATTGTAAAGGGCGACAATGATTGAACCCATCGATGCATGCTTTGAATGATATAAAATATCGTACAAACCGGTGATTTTGGTCATCGTAATCAATGTTAATGTAACTGCTCGGATTGTTTTCCATAACAGCATTACTATACCATCGTAATTGATCGAACGAAATAGAATGTGCACCGAACATCTCGCCCCTTGCTTTCTCAACTCCCAACCATGCTACTCGGTAGCTTATCTCTAATCCATAATCTTTTTTCAAGTCATAAACAACATTGGATGGCCGTGTGAGCGGTTTGTCACGTACTCGTTTAGAGATAACATCGGACACTAAATCAGACCCCGCCCTCGGGTTTTTTGGTGTCCGAACGGCAACACCGCAAATGTGCTCTGCGTTCCACTTACGAATGTAAAAAAACTCATCAGCATGAAGGACTCTTGCATGTATAGACCACATACATCCTTTTGATTCCCTCATCGTGCAAACGGCTGTAATCCGAACGGAGCCATTCTTCAGATACTTGAACCGAAATCTATATTCAACTGCATACTTACGAAGAACATTATAGAATTCAGCAGCCCCGCCCTCAAAGCTTTGACCCACATGTGTGATGCCATTAGCCCATGGAGCGGACATTTAAACTTTGTCAACATGAGGACAAAATTTTGGGAGTAAATCATCTTGTTCATCGTCATCGTCCGACTCATATCCTTCCTTCGGCGAACTGAATCTAACATCCGATGGATCGGAGGAGGAGGAGGAGGTGGTGGAGGTGGATATATCCAGTCACCACCACCCTCTAATTCCTCAGAAAGATGGAAATGGAGAAAGTGGAAACCCAAGTCAGAGGAGGCTCCAAATTCATGTTCAAGCTTAGAGCGAATAGTGTCATCAAGTCCATGAACAGAAAGAACATGAAACTGTGTCTACCTATTATGGTCTTCAAACATCTGCAACACCCAAATTCTTTTACACCAAATATACATTGTTTAACTGTATTTTTTATAGGAACTTTGAGTCTAGAGATGCTAAGACTTGCCCCAGTTTTTGGGACAAACAACCCTTGAAGCTTACCTTACAGAATAATTCAATCAAAATCATGGATTTTATTCAAGATTATTTTCACTGCTTAAAAAAATTCAATCAATTCGAGAATACGCAATAAACATAACAAATGAAAGAAAAAGATTATAATACCTGCTTCTATTGCTGCCACTGCTTCCAGTGCTTCCACTGTCAAAGTAATGAAGAAATTTTGGCCCAGCATTAAATCAAGTAGAAATGCTCTACAAATTGACTAGGAATGTTAGGCCGGGCAATAAAATTTCAGGAATGTTGGACCCAACATTAAAATTGAGCTATACAAAATGGGATAGTTAAACAGAAATTTCCTCACAATCTACGACATGAATAAATTGTGCCTTTGCACTGTCAAGTGGAAAGCAACAGTATAGATCACAGATTGCTTTCAAAAGGATAACCTAAAAAAGGCATGAAAACCACATAAAAATTAAGTCTTTAGCATCCACAATTGACAACAATTGAAACTAATAATCTCAAAACTTCATGGACAAAATTTGAGAAAATTAAGTATAGCATAACATCTTCATCAAATTAGACTTAGACACTGACCATTGAATCTAATTGTCATAAAAATGTACTACACATGAATTCTTGAGGTGTTGCAAAACAGAGAGAAATATAGAACAATCTCAAATTCCATAAAAGCAAACCAAACTACGATGATATTCACTAACCTTATGTAGCAAAGCTTCTCTCTGATATCCCTAACAGTCTCAAAGTCAGGAATCTTACTTACCATACCTTCACTAAAGACTCTTATACTCCAATCAAAACAAAAGCAATTACTGTGAAGAACATTAATGGAAAAAAAAATACAATATATTTGTATAAACATAACAAAAATCTAGATAAAACACTATAAAGAGAACACAAATAAAAGCAAAGTGGTAGTCAAAATCTTTACCTGTTTTGCCCCAAACTACAGGATCAATAAAGGGGCCGATCTTGATAGTTCAACCCATTCCCTCTTATCACTAGTCCAATATCCAGATCTGACAATGTGTGATCAATAAGAGTTTTTAAACTTGGAAATAAAAAAATAAAAACTAATTTCTTTAGATCTAGATCAAGTTTAACAAAAGGAGGTACAACAGATTTCATTAACTAAGCTTTTGCTAAATCAAGTGCAGGAAGAAGTGTGAGCCCATATTTTATTTATCTTAACAATGAAATCTAGAGCACAAGACAAGCATGCACATAAGAACATAGTTTATTAATTGATGACATGTTCTTCAGAGTCAAGAATTATCACATGAACTTCACATATGCCTCTGCACATTTCATATCATCCTACAAAACATAAAAATGTTTGGTATCTTCTAGAACAACAAGATTCAACAAAACCACAAAGCCTAAATACCTTAACAATCAAAGATGAACTGCCTTAGCTGTCCTACAAAAGCTTAGTTGGTCTATCACATTTTACATAGTAATTCAATAAAATCTTGTTTACAAGTTTCAAGTGGAGCCCTTTCCAATCTCCATCCATCTGTTCTGCCCCTTTACATGTCATCCACTAGTTTCAAATGAAGATAGATAAGTGAAATAAGAAATTCAATAGGCCTAATATGAACTCTAGAAAAGCGATTGCTATAAATGCTTCTTTTTTTTAATTATTTATATATGATCATGTAGACATTAGATTAATAATACTATCATAGCATATGACACCTGGACACCATATAACTGTTCCAACAATTTATTTCAGCTTTCAGCCACTAACATGTGAGAAAATAACACTTACTTTTCTCTTATAAATGAGGAAGTCTCACTAATATGCTATTAGTTCTTTACTTCTTACTTTGTTGGCAAATATTTTCAGAAGACGTGCATTTGATTACAGTCTAAACTAGAAGCAAAAGTTGTGAAGCAAAAGTTGTGAAGCAAATTGATCATTATTTTATCAGTAATCAATAATGAGATTTCTAGATAGCTCAATTGCCTACACTACATCTATATCAGTCTTCATCACTACTGTCAACTGATTAAACCAAACTGGAATTCATAACCCAATAGAGCTCCATAGAACAAAAAAAATATACAACACAAATCTGACTAATAGTAAGTTATATAGAGTTAACCAATTTAGATGAATTGAGACTAGCATTTATTTATATTAGAAAAATACATAGAATGGCAATTACATAGAAGAGAGAATACATATAGAACAGAACCTCTTCAACTGCCTTCTCTCTAAGGCTTCCCCCAATTCTCGATCCTTCTCTGCGCAAACAAAAATCAACAACCAAATCAACATTGTACTTTAACAAATCAAAAATCGAAAATTTACCTAATAGTGATTTGAGCAGAACAATAAGTAAAACTAGAAACGAAGAAGATAATGATTTAAGCAAAAAGTGGAAACAGAGCATAAAAGAAGAGATTCACAGAGCTGAAGAAACATCTAAGAAGAAGAGTTCCAAACAGAGCACAGAAGAACATCTAACCTCTGATCGAAGAAGACGAAGATCACGGATCTGAAGAAGAGTTCCAAATCACGGTGCTCAAAATCGAACTTCAAAATCGCAATCGATCTGTGCTCAAGAAGAAGAATCACCGAATCGAGAGAGAGAACTTCGTATTGATTCGATCCTCTGCGAGAAAGAGAGAGAAAGAGAGTGAGGGAGAGATTCGAACTTCATATGCAGACGGCGGTGCTCAAAATGGGGTTTATCAAAATAAAGGTTTAGAGAGACAAGATAGGGTTTGAGGAGAGGCAGGATTCGGAGGCGCTTTTCAAACGACTTCTAGTCACAAAACTGTACCGTTTTAATTAATAACAATTACGACGTTTAAAAAATGCCGTTAATTTTAAAAAAAGCTGACATTTAAAAAAACGCCATTAATTAAATGCCGTTAAATCCCCAAATTCCAGTAGTGAGAGGTCATTGTGTAGGAAAAAAAAATCTGATAATGCAATTACTTTCGTATTTGGGCCCAAGTATACGTAAGCAACTAAACTAGACTTATCCATTTGAGGGATAAGTCTCAAATCTAAAGCATGATGGTGGCAGCAAATTAGAGAGGCTATGTGTTTGGCTACGTGTCACCCAAAACGTGCTAAGCAAGTGTTATACCTTAGTATATAAAGGAGAAGTAGTGTTGTGAACAAAACAAGGAGAAAAAAAAAACAAAACAAAACAAAAATAAAAATAAAAATTAAAAGAAACAAAAACAAAAACGTACAAACATAAAGACAAAGAGAGTCAGCTCACAGTGAATAGGAGTATAATTAGGAGTCGTTTTTTAGATGAGTTATATTATGCCTTGAGTTACCATAACATATTTTACGTATGTTTTGAGTTACCATAATTTTTTTTATACAAGTTATGTTCTATAACTTATATTTAGATTTCAAGTATGTTAATTACTTTTCTGAACTCTATTTTCTTAAATTGAAACTCATGAATATGATTGTTTAAATTTTAGAAATTATTTGACAATGTTTATATAAATATTTATTTTTGATAAGTATTACCATAAGAGTCCCATTCTTCGGAGGACTTAAATAACCATTAGTCTCTGATTGGTCACTTTGTGGCCTTCTGTTTGTTATGAATCCATTGACCTTTGTTCTAATTGTCATTCTAATGGCCTTCTGTTTGTTATGAATCCATTGACCTTTGTTCTAATTGTCATTCCAATGACCTCTGTTCTGTTCTGTTCTGTTTTGTATCGTAATTATGGTTATTTACCTGCATAATTTCTAGATTTCAGTTTCTGCCACTTAAATAATTTATTTATTCAAATTAAGTTATGTTTAATGTTTTAGTTTAAATAATTATCCATGATTATTTTGTGCCTCATATGCTTTTGGCATAATATCTCTCACTCTGCTATATGCTTATAGTTGTTACCCCTTTCAGTTGATGAAATATAAGGAAGGGTTGTAACCTCGTATTGTGGGACCAGCACGAAACTTGATGCCTACCTTATATATATATATATATATATTATAATAATTATTTGTCACCGAATAATAAAATCATAAAAGCCTGATGGCTGTGTTTCCTTTTATTAAAATAGTAGGATAATTACTGAAGTTACTGAAGTTAATCATAAAAGCCTGAGGTGTACATTGACGACATGATTGTCAAGTCCAAGGAAAGAGAAGACCACTACACCGCCTTGAAGAAAATTTTCCAACAGATCAGAGAGTATCGGTTGCAGCTGAATCCTCAGAAATGTACTTTCGGTGTTACAGCAGAAAAAATGCTGGGGTTCTTGATCACACAAAGGGGCATCGAAGTCGATCCTTCCAAAATCAAGGCCATTTTAGAAATGCCCCCACCAAGGACTGAAAATGAGGTGCGAGGCTTTCTGGGTAAAGTGCAATTCATAAGACGGTTTATTGCAAAATTAACCTTGACTTGTGAACCATTGTTTGGTCTCCTGAAGAAAGGAAAGAAGTTCCAATGGGATGACCGATACCAAGTTGCTTTCGAATAGATCAAGCAGTATTTACAGAACCCACCTGTGTTGTCGCCGCTAGAGCCGGAGAAACGGTTGATTCTGTATCTATCAGTAACCGACACGACAATGGGCTGCATGCTTGCACAGGAATCTGAGGATAAAGTGGAGAAGGCTATCTACTACCTGAGTAAGAAGATGTTGGAATACGAGACCCGCTACACTCCGTTGAAGAAGGCTTGTTTGGCCTTGGTATGGGCTACTAGGAAGTTGAGGCATTACCTGTTAGCTCACTTTGTAATATTGGTTTCGAGATTGGATCCCATCAAATATCTCTTCGAGAAACCAGCGCTTACGGGTAGGCTAGCTCCTTGGTTGCTTCTTCTCTACGAATTTGATCTGAAGTACATGACTCACAAGTCAGTGAAAGGGGGAGCGGTAGCGGAGTTCTAGTCGATTACCCAGTAGAAGGGGATGAAACAGTAGAATATCTGTTCCCGGACGAGGGCATTCTGCATCTTGAAGAAGAGGTCTGGACTATGTACTTTGACAGAGCGTCTAACCAGTACGAGTATGGGGTAGGGGTGTTACTAATAGCACCCAACAATTCCCACATACCTTTAGCTTTCAAAGTCCAATTCAAAGTGTCGAACAATGAAGCAGAGTATGAAGCATGTATTGCTGACTTGGAAGCCACCCTGGAACTAGGGGCAAAAAGGTTAGACGTCATTGAGGACTCGAACCTGGTTGTGTCTCAAGCAAAAGGAGACTAGAAGGTGAAGGAAGAAATGATGAAAATTTATCACCAAACCCTGGACGTCCTAATTCCCAAGTTCAAGAAGTTAACCTTCACCCATTTGTTAAGAGAGAGCAATAGGTTCACAGACGCTTTATCAACTCTATCTTCTATGATAGACATCCCTTTAGGAGTCCGGATGCATCCAATCATCATTGAATAGCGGTATGTGCCGGCCTACGAGTTAATTGCCGCCATAGATGAAGTGCAAGATCAAAACCCTTGGTATCACGACATCTGGAACTTCTTTGAAAAGGAGGCTTATCCACTAGGGGCAAATGCCAAAGATAAGACGGCAATACGAAGAATGGCTGCTCAGTTCATCGTCTGCGGGGGTAAACTGTACAAACGGGGTCATCTTAGGATGCATAAACTGTGCGTTGATGCTGAAGAGTCCAAGCGCCTGATGGAGACCATCCATGGAGGAAAGTGTGGAACGCACATGAACGGGGTAATGCTGGCTCGAAAGATTCTTAGACAGGGTTATTACTGGTCAACCATGGAGGAGGATTGTATTGGTTTTGTTCGGCGATGCCACAAATGCCAGATTCATGCAAACCACATGAACATTCCGCCATCGAGGCTGTACAACATGACTTCGCCGTGGCCGTTTTCAGTCTGGGGGATTGATGTGATTAGGGCAGTTACTCCAAAGGGGTCGAAAGGGCATGACTATATCTTGGTGGCAATAGACTACTTTACAAAGTGGGTTGAGGCCCAATCCTACGCAGTGTTGAAGGCATCGAATGTTGCTAAGTCATCAAGAACAACATTATCTGTTGCTATGGAGTCCCGAATGAGATCACTCCGGATAATGGTTCCCACTTCAAAAAGGAGGTGATCGACTTGTTGGAGAAATACAACGTGGCTTTTTATAAGTCATTTACATATCGGCCGCAAACCAGCAGAGCTGTTAAAGCCGCCAACAAGAACATCAAGCATATTCTGCAGAAGATGGTGGAAATTTACAGTGACTGGCCAGATAAGCTACTATTTGCTCTTTAGGGCTACAGAACATTAATTCGAACTTCTACTGGGGCAATTCTATATTCCTTGGTTTATGGGATGGAGGCTGTTCTGCCTATCGAAGTTGAGGTTCCGTCATTACGGGTAATAGTTGAGTGCCAGATAGTTAAGGCAGATTGGCAACAAAGAAGGTTCGAAGAACTCATGCTGTTTGACGAGTGAAGGCTGAAAGCACTGTATCACGTCCAGGGTTATCAACGCAGAATTGCCTAGGCTTTCTATAAGAAGGTTAAGTCCAGGAATTTGAAAGAAGGGGATTTGGTGCTCAAAGACAACCGAGCTCCCATCCACGACCCTAGGGGCAAGTTCAGACCTAATTGGACTGGTCCTTACATCATCAAGTCAATCTGGTCGGGTGGAGCTGTTGTTCTTATGGACCTAGATGGCCTAGAGTTCTCCCAGCCGATCAACATGGACAAGTTGAAGAAATACTATCCCTGAATGGCTCGCTAGGTCGAAAACCCGAAAGGGCAACCTAGGCAAAAATTAGAGCGCAGAAAATTTGAAATAAGAAAAACTGAGCTCGCAAGGTTGAAAACCCAGAAAAGGCGGCCTTGGCAAAAGTTAGAGCACAAAAGGAGGGTGTTAAAACTCGAGTGAACCTGAACTGAACTACGTAAGGCTTGATTCCCATCCTTGGGATACGTAGGCAACTTCATTCTGAAGTCCAGCCATAAACACTTTCAAATCAGCTGTGTCCATGTGATCATGTCGGTCATCTTTGTCTTTTCTTGCATCCAAGAGTTCGGTTGTGATCTCTAGTGCAGTGCTATTCAAACAAGGGGCACCTTTCCAGTTGTTGGATCCGGGGTTGTGCATCTCAAAAATAGTTTCCCGGCATGTCCAGTTGTGATCCATATCGAAAATGGTTTTGAAAAGTTTTAATAAAAGTTGATTTTGTTCAAATTAATCTTTTTACAACTCAGACCATTTTTGGACCAAACAGAAAATTTTCAGTACCTATAACCTTCAATTTCATTGATTTCAATACAGAGTTCTCCGACTTTTGATACAAATTGAAGTTGCTTTTCATTACATTCAAAACGAAAACTTGAAAGTAGAAATTAAAGCAATAAACTCGGGGCATAGTCAAGTGTTCCTGCGCCCCCTCCCAGAGCTTGTGGAAGCTTCAGATGCCAAAGTAGGCCCGGTTTGTGCCTCATCTTCAAGCCAAGCTATGCATTTGCCAGAAAGTGCACAACTAAAAGTGAGAGCGGGGCCAGAAGTTCTCTTATTCTCCATGCTGTGGCATACCAAGCTAACTGTGAGCCTCGGATCGAAAATGAAGCTGGGTACTCTATCCCCTCTTCCGGGCAAGT